GGCTATACAGGGCTGACTCAGGAGGAGTTGAGGGGAAGAAAGGAGTGAAATGCTCAGACTGCGGGAGCTGTGTACGCCAAAAAGTTCCACTGTCCTCCACCCCCAAGGTGAGAGCCAGGAGCTGGACATCTGGACAGATGGATTCCCACTGGTTTTGTCAGCTCCCAGCTGCCACATGTCTGGCAGCTCAGCAGCCAGCCTCCAAAGATCCTCTGATGTAAAAGACAGCAATCAACGTAGAAAGTAGAAGTCAGTCCTGCTTTAGAGAGATTTTACATGGAAGCTGAGTGGGTTTTTTCTACATATTCGTTTTCCCTGTAGTAATGGTCAGAGGAGTGGCCTTTCTTCTCCCTTCTTCTCGCCTGCCAAAATTAAAGAAGGCATGAATTGACCTTGGACAGCAGGCTGGTGTCCACCTAGCCACTCTCTCCTTCCCTAACAGGACAGGAGGAAGGAATAGGATGAAAAAGAAAATGCGTTGTGATGAAGAAAGGGAGATCCCTTACCAGTTACCATTGCTGGCAAAACAGGATTACCATGGGGAAAATTAAGTTTACTGTCAGTTAAAAACAGGGTAGGATGGTGAGAAACAAAGAGAAAAGAACACCTTCCTTCCATTCCTCCTTCTTCCCAGGTTCACCCTCACAACTTTATTCCTGACTCCTCTACCTCCTGTCTGCTGCTCCTTCCTCCTCACACTTTTCCCTGCTTCAGTGCGAGTGTTCCCCATGGGCTGCAGTCCTTCAGGATAAATCTGCTCCAGCCTGGGGCCCCTCCTGGAGCTGCAGGGAAAGCCCTGCCCCACCGGGGCATCTCCTGGGGCAGCAGAGGCATCTCTGCAGGGGACTGGGAGCCCCTCCTCCTGCTCTCCCCTCAGGGCTCTCACACTGTAATATACATAAAGTTTTATACACGTAAAGTTTTAAACTACTAAGTAACAAACATACACCAAATCACATAGGCCTTGGGTTAACAGTCCTGTACCATGAAGGGTGCCCAGGGACGTTCCGGTCCTTTCCGAGGTCGTGTCATTTCTCTGAAGGACTTGCTGCCTGAGTCAGAAGTAAGAAGCAGGCAAACAGCATGGTTCCCTGCAGCTTTCAAAGCCCCCAAAGTAATGAGGAGAGCTGTATTTTCCATCTGTCTGAATCTCCAAGCATGCTGCCTAGCAACTGCACAAAATGGAAAGCTCTATAACACATCTCCCATGGTTAGTTACAGTCGTAATTACCCTCATCACTTCCGTGCCTACAAACAACTGGATAATAACTGGATAAAAATTGCAGAGCCATTGGATTTACCCGTCAGACAGTGGTACAGTCAGCTTCAAGTGGTTAGATTTGGGAAAATAATGAAAAACTTGAGCAAAGACCCACTTTCATGACATCCAGAAGGTGCCCCAAAAGGGCCGAGACCGGAACACTGAAGGAATAAGACAACAGAGCAGTAAGACAGCAGTACAGTGTATCAGTCTTAGGAAACACTTTCTTCTGCATGTTGCATTTGCATTAGGAAACAAAAGCAAGAGTCAAACACAAAGAACTGTCCAATACAAATACGATGGGATGGAGAGGTCTGACTCCAAGCTAAGTCTTGATTAGACAAGTTTTGGAGAAGAGGCAGAATCATTAGAGTCCAAATGGCAAATCTGAAAAATTTGTAAAGGCAAAGTTCTCTGTGCCACACTGTTACCCTCGGTGTCTCCTCATCTTCATTTTTATCACAGCTGGTGAAATAGAGGAAAGTGGAGGAAACAAGTACAATAGAATGGTTTGATTAAAAAAAAAAAAAAAAGAAAAAAGAAGAAAAGAATGCAGCTGAGAGGGATTTCAGACCTCAACGTACTCTCAAACAGAAGTTGTGATAACTCTTTTTCTCAAGTGAACAATCAGGAAGTCAAATACATCCTGTTTAGGATGTAGGTTAGGACACCAAAACCTATGTCTGCAAGAAAGATGGAGAAGGCAAGCAAGAAATCACCAAAATAACCTGTATTATTAACTATGGCCTACATCTGTACTTCTACTGCTTCCCAGCAATGGAGAAGGAATCTGCTTTCCCCCTTGCTCATTTGTATTTTGTGTCCATGTGTTGTCAGAAGCTTGCTTCACGTATAGGCCTTGAAAGAGCACGAGAGATCGTGCAGTGCTTCAAAAAGTTAATGGGAAGATGCTGCTCCCTTCAAAGACCAAAGACCAACTCTAAATAAACTTCATCCACACTGGGCTCCCACTAAGGTGAACAGCCTGTTCTTTGCGATGACAGACATGAGGAAGTTGACTGCACCAGTGATACCTCAAGGAGAACTGTCCAGGCTCACACAGAGGATGGCCTCATATGAAAAGGAGCTAGTAATGTACTTCCAGTGTGAATTCCCAGTAATATCCTCACTGGCAAAACATATTTGCCAATATTTTAAAAGTTTAGGTTCAAATTGATATTAGCGAAGCAAGTAACGCTTTTGTCGGTGATGTATTTTACGATTTATTTTAGAGGTGCTCTCAGTGTAACTAAACACAGTTTCACTTTTGATTATGTTTCACTCTTCTACTAAGTTACCGCAGGTTTGTGTGAGAAAACAAATTTAGGGAAAAGCAGAACTCCAGTTGAGAAAGCAAGCTGATGTATTAAAATCAATCCAGTCTTTGCCTCTTTGCTGCTGTATTCTGGACAGACAAGAGAGAAGTTGGGAGTTAATCATGCATTGGTTAAGGCAAACAGAGTACATTGCAGTTGTTGATGTTAAAGATGATCAGTCCTGACAAAAGCTCTGATATGAAGAGAAATGGATGTATTTGTAAGAACTGGAAGAGGAAAAGCAAACAGAGTTTAACAAGTATGCCACAGGGAAGTAGTGTTAAAAATTAGATGTAATTCCATGCTTGAAAAAACACTGCAGTTTAAAGTGATGGATCAGAAATGAAGAATAAAAATGACCTAAAGATTAACCTATTTTTGGAAGTTAAGAACATAACTGAACATTCACGCATGCATGCACAAAAATTCAGCCATCGGTACATTTTTTATTGCTATGGTGTAAAAAACAAACAAACCCTCCACTCTGAAAGGAAGCAAGAAAAGTGTCATAAATTGTATTTTGTTTGGGAAATGTTATTTTGCCACACTTAGGTATAGAAACATCAGTGAAAAGAGCCACACATTAATTTACCTGGCAGATAAACGCACATTGATAATGGGCTTTCCATTATTTCCCAAAAAATACTCAGACTTTTTCATAGGTATGGCAGAAAGCACTGAGTGCAAGCATTGAACTGACCAGATGCTATTTATTCTGAGGACTGTAACCCCACATTCTCATCCTACTCTGAAGTCATGCATCGGTCGAATATGCTGTGATGTTTTATGGGAGTTCAATTATATATATAATATAACTGGCATTTTTCATCTGAGGAATCTTATTGGTGCATTTCACTATAGTAATAAATAGAAAAGTCTTGTTTTAGAAACAAATATTTTTTATTTTGAAATTCAATTTGAAACTTTAACTTCCCTATCCGGAAATCTATTTGATAGAATACAATTTTTATCACAAAAATATAAAACATCCTCTGATAGTGATTTGAATTTGCAGTAGTGAATCAGAGAAGATTAAAAACAAGCTAGGCTACAGATAAAACTATTTTTGACAAATTTTGACCTTCATGTAGTTACAAAAATATATAAATATGTATTGAAGAAAAGAAATAGAGGAGGACTAAGGAAGCAGCTGGCCTTTTTATACGTGTACATGTACCACCAAGTGAAATGCATGAATGTTTTAGTTGGAAAAACTTAGATTATACACTTGTTTAACATTTGTTCAGTTAATATATTCTATAGATAAAGTCAGTATGTGTATAGCCTGAATATGAAGTCAACACTTCTAGTCTTCTTAAAGTAATCAGGCAGCTCTATCAAAAACCTAGGTGTATTTTGGGTTTTTTGTTGTTTGTCTGCTTGCTTTTTTTCCTACAGCTTATTCAAACCATAAGTGCAGTAGACAAAGATGACCCTCTTGGTGGACAAAAATTTTTCTTCAGTTTAGCTGCTGTTAACCCCAACTTCACTGTTCAGGATAATGAAGGTAAAATTCATGCCTGTTCCAAGGAAGGAGTTTTACATTTGCCATCTCACACACATTCTTGAAATCCATTTGCTTTTGATGTAGAGAACTCTCTAAGGCTGCTGCTAGCAATGAACGGTAATTTTAACTGAATGTTTGTTTTTTAAGACTACTGCATCTTTATCTATGTTAGAGAGGAAAAAATTACTGTGGCAAAAACATGATAAGACAAATTATAAAGAAAATCAGTAACAGTGTTGGTTTTGGGGTCAGTAGCCAGATGAAATGCTTGACTGAATGAGAAAAACAGGTTTCCAAAATTAATTCAGCTGACAAGTTCAAATTTTTACTTTAGCCTTCTGTCACATAGTTGCAATTCCTCTGGTCTTTTTTTTTGCTTCTTTTTCACCATTAATGAAAGTAATGGTTCTGAGCACATGGCCACTTTGGCTTTTATTTGGATCCTTTGTCAATCTTTCTTTATCATGGAAAATTTTCAAATAATGCTGTTGGGGAAGGGGGAACATATACCCATTTTAGCCTTTGTTATCAGTATGACTAACTGAGAAGGTTCTAGATTATAGAAGAAATAAATGAGGGAGAACATGCTGTCAACCTTCAAATGTGTTAAAGGCATAAAGGCATTGGGAATAGTCCTCTTTTCCCAATGAAGATTTTCAGGAAGTAACAGGATGCAAACAAGAACAGAAAAAAGTCCTAATAGTAGGGAAAAAGTGAAGAATTTAAATCAAATAGTGTGGGTATCTTACAAAATCCCCAGCAGCCAAGGTATTTTGCGGGCTATCGAGCTGGTAAAGGATTTGGAGTACGTGTCATACGAGGAACAGCTGAGGGATCTGGGGCTGTTTAGCCTGGAGAAGAGAAGACTTAGGGGAGACCTTATCGCTCTCTACAACTACCTGAAAGGAGGTTGTAGCGAGGCGGGGGTTGATCTGTTCTCCCTATTGGTGAGTGACAGGATGAGGGGACATTGCCTTAAGTTGCACGAGGGGAGGTTCAGGTTGGATATTAGGAAGAATTTCTTTATGAGAGGGTTGTCAGGCACTGGAAGAGTCTGCCCAGGGAGGTAGTTTAAGAGAAGGGTAGATGTTGTGCTGAGGGACATGGTTTAGTGGTGCTGATAGGGCTAGGACAAAGTTGGACTTGCTAATATTGAAGACACATAGTTTTTGTTGTGGAGTGAAAACAAATAACATACAAATATACCAAACCAATGAAGAGATGCAATAAAGAAAAACCTTGTGTTTCACATCATGGAGATCATGAAAAAAAATAAATTTAGTATTCTAAATAAATATTATATCATGATGACTCGGTCCTAATTATATAGAGGTATAGACCTTACTATTTCTTTCCTCCCTTTAATTATATTTTTTCTTTTTGCACATGGGTTATTTTAGTTCAGTGTGAAGTTGGCTAGCAAGATAGCTGACCACTTAACTTCAAGAGATCTACAAGTGTGATGAAAATTAAATTTTCCTTCTAATGGAGACTAAATCTGTATTTTTCTTCTTTTGGACTAGGAAGTAAGCAACTCTAGTGCTGGCTCATACTCTCATGTTGTGGCCCTAGCAATAGAAGAAATAGTCTCTCCCTGTAATTCGTTCTTTCTCTTCCTTTCCTTCCGTTTGGCCACTCTGTGAACAGCTTTTCATGCTGAAGTATATCACGTCCAATAAGGGTGTCTGCTACAAATACAGTTTAGTAAGTTCACTTCTCAAAATTGCACAGGAATACCTACCATCTTTCACATTTTCTGAATTCCTAAGACAACTTTTACCCTGAAAAACAACTTCATGTGCTAAGGTACATAATTCATTGTTCTACAGTATGTTGAAAGTGTTTTCATGTGGAAAATCTCATACTGAGTTTACAGATAGCATTCCTATGGGTGTTGTCACAGAAGATCCATAGAAAGAGTCTTTCAGAATAGAGTGCTTGTTGAACAGCGTGAAGTGGAAGGTTGTTTTTTCTCAGTTGGCCACTTCATTTCAGGGCTTCAGCCCTGAACTGGAACTGTGTCACGCACTGCATGCATTAATCTATAAAACATTTTAAGCTTTGAGAAATCCTCTTTTCAGATCACACTCAAAGGTGATGCAGAGGCACAGAAGAACGGGCCAGATGTACATTAAAAATTATAAATAGCTTTCTAACCAAATGGGAATGCCGTTAGAAAAAGAGCGATATCACTGTGTTACTGGGAACAGTTTCAAAATGCTACCAGTGATGTAAAATGTGATGATTTTCATGTACTAGAAAAGATACCTTTTATATTCGTATACTCCACAACAGTGTATTTTAATCAATCTAGATAACACTGCCAGGATCTTGACAAGAAGGAATGGCTTTAGTCGGCATGAAATAAGTACCTACCTTCTACCCGTGGTGATATCAGACAATGACTACCCGATCCAGAGCAGCACAGGCACGCTGACCATCCGAGTGTGCGCCTGCGACAGCCAGGGGAACATGCAGTCCTGCAGCGCTGAGGCCCTGCTCCTCCCGGCCGGCCTCAGCACCGGGGCGCTCGTCGCCATCCTCCTCTGCATTGTCATCCTGCTGGGTAAGAAAAAGTAACGTGTCTTTCCCACTATGAGCAGATGCTTCAGGCCTGGCTTCCTTTTCATGAAACTATGCAGGCTGGTAAAGTTGATCATTGTGGGTTTCGCAAGAATTCAACTGCAACTTAAAGCAAAAAAAAAAAAAAAACAAAAACAAAAACAAAAGAGGCAAATCCTATTTGTCTGGAAATTGGACTATGTAAATAAGAATTCAAGTCGCAGACTGTTAAAACTATCAGTGTGCAACCAGAAGCCCATCTTTATCATTCATTGACTGAAAAAAAAAGATCAGAGAGGAGGAATAGCATAATCAAAAGTCACTTTCATATCTTTAGTTTTAAATTTTTTTGAGACAATGTCTCTGTCTTATTTAAATAATTGTTTAAAGTCAATATGTAGCATATATTTTACACAGAATATGCCAGTAAATAGTATTTTTACTGTTTTAAAGCATTGTCTATGCAGAGCTTTCTGTACTGCAATTAAAAGAAAAAAACAACATTTTGCACAACCTCCATTTTATCGTTTTCAGAATATCACTGAAAACCTCTAATTCACCTCCAAAACAGTTTTTAGCAGTATACTTTGAGGTTAAAATAAGAAAAAGAATAGACCTGGCTATTTTAAACCTCATTAGAGTTGCAGAAAGAGCATGTAGTCAAGCTCATGGTTCTGTGAAGCAGAGCACAGAAGGTGTGTGCAAAATAGCACATTTTGATATAGACCTTACTGTGCTGCCGTGATACCAATAGAGATGTTTAACCATTTATCTGACAGAAATGAATTGCTGAAATGTGCATGGAATCAAGCCCTTGTACACGGTGGATTTGCTACTAAGAAACTGTTAAATAGAGGCCTTTACATGTTCTTTGTTTCTCTCTTTAAGTGATAGTGGTGCTGTTTGCTGCTCTAAAAAGGCAACGAAAGAAGGAGCCTTTGATCCTCTCTAAAGAGGACATCAGAGACAACATTGTGAGTTATAATGATGAAGGCGGTGGAGAAGAAGACACTCAAGCCTTTGATATTGGCACTCTGAGGAATCCTGCAGCTATCGAAGATAAGAAGCTTCGACGAGACATTATCCCTGAAACGTTATTTGTACCGCGGAGGACTCCTTCAGCACCAGACAACACAGATGTCCGAGATTTCATTAACCAAAGGCTAAAAGAGCACGACACTGACCCTTCTGCACCGCCATACGACTCGCTTGCAACTTACGCCTACGAAGGGAATGATTCAATAGCTGAATCCTTGAGCTCCTTAGAGTCGGGTACTACCGAAGGAGACCAAAACTATGATTACCTCCGCGAATGGGGCCCTCGGTTTAACAAGTTAGCTGAAATGTACGGTGGAGGGGAAAGTGACAAAGACACTTCTTAACCTACAGTAGGCTACATTTTCCTTTCCTTTGAGCGGAAGTAATTTTACAGACACCTTCTGCACTCAACAGTATTTAACATTCAGGAAAAATTTCCTGCCACTCAGCACAATGGTTTCCTTTTGAAATTTGTTTTTAATTTTGTCCGTTAATGTCATTCATTCTTTCTAGTAGGATGCCACTTGGAATATATACAGCATTTTATTTAATCACCCTCCAAGAGCCAAAGCTATGGAAATTCAGTGTTGTCCATTTTAGTAAGTAAAATAAACAATACCTTACCTTCAGAAATTTGAACAGGGTGATAATCCCTTAAGCAACGTCATGTACAAGCCGCTTCTGTTAGGTACATGTCTATCCTTGCAAGTGCAGCTTTTAAGATGGCAAAGAAGAAAAAAAAACCAATATGTCCTGTTCTGTACATTAAAATTAAAAAAAATGTACACGTGGTGTTAATAAGTGTAATATGCAGCTGGTTTAAAAAAAATTGTGCAACTTCATTTCATCAAATTCTATCTGCCAATGTTTTATATTTATATTTTTGTATTTATTTTTAAGAAATAAACCAGGTTTTACAACTATGTTGATGCTTGCCTGCCTGTTCTGGCCACCAATTCCAGGCTTGAAGAGAACATGAAATTTCTCTGATGACAGCACAGACAGTTGCTAGTACTTCTGTGCTGCAGTTTTCTCCACACATTTTAACACAGTTTGAAGTGCATGTGCTCACAGGGAAAGGATCAAGTTATAGACCTAACTGCTTGTTCAAAAGAGCTACTTCCTAAGTTGTCATGTTTAAGAGAAATTTTGTTTTATTTTTGAGCTGAACTAATGATGTTCTATTCTAGACAGATGAGCTACTATTTTGGCTCAGCTTGAAATACCTTATTCTACAAACACACTCCCACAACTAATCCATCCAACCACAAAGAATTAGTTTCAAAAACTGAGTTCATTTGTTTTGTAGTTCTCTATTTTGAATAATAACGGAACCCTCAGAGGTGATGTTTAACTGCAATGGATAGAGTATAGAATCTGTTTAAACAAACATTTTTAAGCACCATCCTTTTCTGAAGACAAATCATTTGATGACAAATGACTGTGTGTTGTCTTGCAGCCATCTGGGGGTAACCTAATCTCCTCTAAAGCTATCAGGCTGAAGGCTGACAAAGTGTCAGTAAAACTAGCACTCCCTCTGCCCATTTTACTGAGGTTTTGGTAGCTTTGGAAAAGTCTAGTAAAAAGAAACCTGAGCAACCAGCCAACTGTAACAGAAATCATATGGTAGCTATCACAAAAAAAGATGCGTCTCTGAAGACATTTTAAGAGGTCCCTTTTTTCTTTCAATCTTTAGATCACACAGATCTGTTTAGTAAACAAGCAGTGTGATTTTGTATCATTGCAGTGATGAAATAATTTCAGAGCAAAAGCAGGATGCACTTGGGTCTGTACTCACTGATTTATTGTGGAAGAAACATATCTGAAGGACAATCCCTCCTCTGTCTCTCTTTACTTTTTACTGGTGTAAAATCAACAAATACTGGAAATATAATAATCCTTCTGAAAGTGCAATGCTGCATTCTTATTTCATCAGATATTTCTTCTCCTTAATGGAGTGATTAAACCCAATGAAGTTGAAAGCTGAACACAGTGCCATTATGCAAGCTATTTTGGTGCAATTGAGACCAAATTTTTATTGACTTGTTATCAAGTTAAACTATTTGATCCATTAAGAAACTGTGAAGATTATGGATTTTTCTTCATTTGACTCAATAATACTTTCATTAACTAAGGAATTTTTATATTCCTTAATAGAAAATAATTCTGAGCATATTGAGAAACATCTTGGATGATCAGCATTTTAAAGCTTTACAGACAATACAAACAGTTGATCTTCTTTATGATTATCTATTTAAATGGATCTAATTTTTTCTTCCTTCCTAATCTCCATTTGCCTTTCAACAGCATGTAATAGGAAGAAACAAACAAGCAAAATTCATCCATTACATACCTAAATAGCCAAAAGGCAGTCTTCCAATACTGTTTCTGTCTGCAGCAACACTGAGATCAGTGACAGCCTGCACATTTAACTGAGTATGTATTAGGACAGAAGGTAAAATAGGCTGTAATACAGCTGTGATTTATCTCTTTGTTAAAAACACGATTTTGGTTGAACACGTCCAGCCAGTATATAATTCAGTAAGAATTTCTGTTTGTTTCCAGAAAGGAAAAACAAAACCACACAGCTCCTTCACTCAGAAAATGTCAGATAAGACTATTATTTTAATTTGCATTACAGTAGTTATTTCTGAATAATAATGATGTGGAAACATTTGTCTATCACTACGTTTAAGGAAGTTATTTTGTAAGCTGAACCTAATGTTTACAATTTAGTCCGGTAGGTACTATTAAATAAAATAGTATACACTGTGGAAGTATATCTGGAGAATATATAAACGTACTACTAAAATTATTGTAGAATAAGTATAAATGAAAATTTGGTTTACCCCTTGCCATATCCTTGAAGTTTTATTTCCCAGTATATTTTAGGAAAAAAAAATCCATTTCAGCACTGTAGGTGTTACTGTGCAAATAGCATTCCAGTGTACAAATGTGTAGCACTTTACTGTACAAATACCTCAGCCTAGTGAAAGTGGGCATAGGAACATGCAGTCACCCATGCAGATGAATCATAAAAAAGTATGGAGGAAATCATAATTCCCTGGTGACACGGAGGCTGGATTAAAAAATACTATCTCTAAGGTCCCTTCCAGCCTAGGCCATTCTATGATTCTGTGATTCTATGATTGTATTTATTTTAGGAATTGGATCATATAAGCAACTGAGTCTAATCCTTAGTATTACACACAGTCACAGAGTAGTCCACCAACAATGTCCTGCACACTCTCATATTCCACAGATGAGACACGACAGCTTAGTCAAATGTAATGCCATGTAGCAAAAGATAAAAACTGTATCAGATGTCATCAGAACGGAGATGCCATGGAAAGGCATATCCCCATGTCTTTCTTACACTCTCACAATAGTGAAGAATTGGAAAGAGAAACTCCCAGACAATTCAAGTGGAAAAAACAAAAACCAGGCTACCTACTTCCCAAATAGTACCTGCTAAGCACAGCCACATGAAACTTCACAAAACATGTAGTAAACAAGTCCTAAAGAATTTTCTATAATGCCACAGAACTACACTAAAAGAGAAAATACATGATTACTGTATTTCAGATGGAACCTACAAGTGACTTATAAGACAGAAAAATCTAAAATTCAGAAATACATGAAATCTGTTGAAGTCACTGGACCTCCAGGAAACAGCTCGTAGAGTCTGTTGTAACAAACTGCTTTGTTTGTGGGGGGTTTTTTTAAGATATTTTCTGCAAGAAGGTGTGTGCAAGACCGTATGTTAACTAAAACATCAAAAAATAGTGTTTCGTATAGCCTTCAGGGAACTGGTCGATGGTAAGAACTATATAAACAGACTTAAAAAACAAAAACACAACAAAAATGGAATAAAACAAGAACCTAAATCAACAAAACTCTCAAACTGTACATCAGGTCAATATCCACCAGCTGTCATAGCCAAATATATATTTTCGCTGACTCAGTGTTAAAAGTTGTCACATTTTAACCATTTATCCTTCAACCACATTTAATACTATTCTCAGGCCAAACTAATTATCAATTACATTACTGTCTCTCAAGAGTCTGCTCTTCATTCCACTCGATTGTCCATTGTAACTCTACTGCCCTTGAATCAGATTTCCTAAGTTGTTTTTTTTTAAAATTCTTCTGATGCTACCCATCACACAAAGTTCAAAGAAAAAGAAGCAAATTTGCTACATTATTGTCCTTCAAATCTCTTCTTATAAATTGTTCCTACTGAAGTAACTACAAAAATACCTTTGAAGGTCTACACTAATCGTGAATGGTGGAGACAAATTCAATCATCACTCCAGGTTGTTTCAAACTGGTTTGACAGTGTTCCTCAAACTTTATCCAACATCTGGGAAAAAGCAAATACTTCCCTTTAACCCATCACTAACTTGTCAAAAGGAAAACCCATGAACTGTTGAAGAAGCTGGTTATAAGAGTATCAACAAAAGAGTTTAGTCTCCCTTACTTTTTGTTGAGTGAGTGAACTAAAGATCTGACTATAAAAGTTACCAGAAGCCTTCAAACACTGCATTATCATTATCAGACTCACGAACAGCACAGAAATCACCCAACAGTTATCTGTTCACAGCAAGATGAGCACATAGATGTTCAAGCTAAAACAATTTCACTTACTCATAGCAGTGTTATCTGTTATGTCCATAAACATTATGTAAATTGTAAACATAAGGAGATAATAGCAAATGTAAGGAGACATGTTAATATTTCTTTTTCCCCAACCAAATGTCTTGGGCTTCTCTATTGTCTCTTCAGTTTTTTAGAGGCTTATTCAAACTGTATTTTAATATGGTTGAATTGGCAGAAAAGTCACTTTCCACATAACCAAACATGTAAAATATAGCAATAACAACATATGAATCAATAAATAGAATAAGCCAGAGAGAATTAATTCTTACATTTTTTTCTTTTATCTTCTCATCTTTAATGCTATTTTTGTTTTCATTTTAAAAAAATATCATCAACTATGAAATCAGAATGACAGTTTTAAACTAATGGGTTTTTTTAAAAAAATATTCAAACCAAACATTTAACTTTTGAGAAAACTTCATTGTCTTTAAGTTGATGTCAACCTCAGTAAACAAAGAAAAATAAAAAACTATTTGAAAAGAAATATGACAAATATTCTTTCTTTGAATTTTGGCTACAACTCAGAGATGACGTGTAATTTGAACATATACTTGGAAACATAGTACTGAACATTTCCATTATTGTTTGTAAAACAATATTTTGATTACTAATTAAGTATTAGAAGGAAAATACTTTCTAAATAAGCTTTACACCCATGTTCAGGTACTGCATGTGGAAACTGTCAGAAAACTTCTCTTATACCTGTCCTTTTGAAGGAAATAAATTCTAATTATATAATGGTCAATAAAATGCCGGTACAGTCATGAACACTACAGCAAATCCAAGAAATTAATTGATAATAACTTCTGAAAGGTTTTGGAAGTCATGACAGTATCGAAAATCTTTTATTGATGGAGGAACTTTGCTATATTTAACAATGATGCGTAAAGAAAGTCTCCATCACAACACACATCTCTACTTTGCATTGGCCCTCACGAATTTGCCAGCTG